CTCCGATCCGCCAAAAAATTGCATTCTTCTTCAGATTTGAGGAAAAATCCTAGATTCAAATCACACAAATTTGTAAGTAGCGGAAATTGATCGAAGACTGATGACATGGATACATAATTTTTGGCGATAATGGTTCATGGATGTGGCCCCCACCCATTTGAGTGTTATTTGAACCAATGTGGCAAAAAAAATGAGAGAAGTGCTACACGTACATAAGTACATAATGTTATACATAATGGTATCCATAATTACACATGTCATTAGATTCAACCTTTAATTTAAATTTCCCAATTTCATATCAACAACATAATTTTATCCACATCACATTATGGACACTATTATTTACCCAAATTATGTACACATAGAATTTTCCAAAAAATTATAGTATACCACTAGCATTTTTCTTGATCGACGGGTACTTTTTAAAGCTTTTGACCTTTACACGATTTGGGTTATAATTCCTGATTAACTTCCATAAAGGTTAAAACTTGCCTATTAATATTTGAATAATGGGCACAAATTGTTTTTATTCATTCTAAATTATTCCAAAAAATGAAAACAAATCCTACTTAAAACAATTTAAAAATATAAAAATTCATCTTTCATACCAACCCCACTCCCACTCCACCCCTCAACTAAACATCACCACCACCGAGTTATTTTGACCATCAGAATGTTCACCAAAGTTGACCTCAAATTTGTGAACTAAAGTTACCTTGGGTAGCAAAGTAGAATTCGTCCATTTTTTGCTGCCCAAATTCGGCAAGCATACAAATACCTGCACCTCATATCCGCAAAATTCTTGCACTTTTGTCACCATTTTGCCTATGGTTGAAGTCCACTGCGTTTGTCCCTGCCATCAAGCAATTTATGCCGAAATTGTCAAGAAATCCTACAAACCCTTAAGCAACCGCACACTTGTTGTCAAAAAATTCCCGCCCATATAGTATCGCTATCAAGTAAATCCTTCATGTATGACTTTCACCTCTATCAAATGCATACATTTCTCGCACATCCATACAAATTCCACATACTAGTCCAAATGCACTAATCATACAAATTCCACATACTACTTGTCCAAATGCACTAATCACATGCGCAATCTTCTACTCTAGCCTTCACTACGATTGTGAACTCATGAAGAAGTCATTAAATAAAGATGGTCCTCTAAAGGGTTCCTGTAGTGTTAGATAAAGATTGTCCTTTAAAAGGGCTCGCTGTAGTGTAATCAGTCTACGCCGTCCAACACGACTTTGCTATTCAGTCCACGAGTCTTATGTGCAATTAATTGTTCTTTTGCGAATGCAAACATAAACGTATTTTACTTCAAAATAAATAACAAGAAAAATAGTCACCATCTTGAATCTTCTCAAATGCTTTAACCGTTGAAAAATGCTTTTTGTGCATAACTATTTACATAATGACGAGATGTCATTTTGATCCATTTAAATCCCATCATATTATCTAGGGTAATG